CGCGTCAAAATAACGCCTCGAAAAAGAAAAAAGCGGGTGCGGTTTCTCGATGAAGTCCAGGCGGATTCCAGTCGACCGCGGGCCAGTTACACGCCACCCCCCACCACGCACGCGGACATTATGAACTTCATCCAGAAAAAAGCCGCTGAACAACGGCAAACCCAACCGTGGTGGGAAAAGTTGGTCAGTCCCACCAAACAGCAATGGGCCTACGCCAATGCCTACCATCGAGCCGAAGAGTATGCCAAGAAACGAGGTGCCCTACGGTCCCCACCCAAGAAAAAACAACGTCGACGCGCCGGTCGTCATCCACCCATGCGCAAGAAGAAACCCCCTAAACAAAAGACCTGCATGACCCTGATGGAACTGGCCCGGGCCTTTCCCAACATTGCCCAGCAAGTGTGTTTTCATCCCAAACAATCGACCTTCAATTCGTTGGTGGGACGCGTCCCTCGCAGTAAACAGAAAGTGGACCAGTGGCTATAAAAGGACCCTGCACCCTCGGGGACGTGCCTCTTCTTCATCATGAGTGAGATTAAACGCTTGACGCTCATCAGTGATCCGACCGACGAGTTTCCCAACAATGCCAACAACAGTTTCAAGGTCCGTCTGCCCGAACGCCTTAGCTTACCGGGCACCGGTTGGCACGCATCCCTATTGTCCCTGACCGTCCCGGATCAAGGCCAGAGTAATGCCATCATTGCAGCGGATCCTCATACCAAAGTGATGAAATTCAAAATGTCGTATGTGGTCCTCAAGTTTCAGTTGGGCACCTATCGACGAATGGAAATCAAAACCGTGGACTGCGCCTTGGAATTGGAAGAGATCATGAATGCGAATCAAATCGTGTCAACGGGGAGTCAGTTTTGGAAACGCGTGATGCAAGAAGTGCACAATAAAATCATGCACAATGTGATGAATGAACAAATGCAGCGTTTGGTCAACGAGCCCGACGAAAGACCTATTGTCAGCGCCAAACAAAACGCCATGCCCCAACTGATCTGGAAAAAAGGTGCCTTGGTGATTAAGGCCCTTCCCCAAATGGATTTGATTAAAGCGGACAAGAAAGCCATCACTGACCTTTTCATCAACCTGGACATTGCGCTCAAGTTTGGGTTGGTGGTCGAAAAGACCAGTCAAAACAGGACCTGGTATCCATTGGGGCCCAATATGCAATACACGCTGCCTACCAAGACGTACGATTCGACCACCCAACCCGCCGGCAATCAGTTTCGCAGAGCCTACAACTGGGAGGGCCAGCAGTACATGGGTGTCAATCCCACCTTACTGTTTGGCAATACAGGCCGTATTACCAATGATCCCCTGCAAGTGGTGACCCAGGATGGTGTGAAGTTTTTGCAATTGTCCTTGATAGTGGAATGGCAGTTGAACAACCTGGATGCCTCGTTTGAAAAGATCGTGGGGACTCGCAAACGCACCGTCATGGTCTATTCGGATCTCGTCGAATCCACCGTGGTGGGCAGTGGCAAGTTTCCCCTGTTACGGGAAGTGCAATTGTTGAGAACCGGCGATGGGGAAAGTACGGCAGAACCCTTACACCACCAATGGATCAAAGTGCGAGGAAATCAATTAGAGATCTTGGAAGTGGAGATTGCCAGTACCAGTGGACCCCTGGCCATCTTACCCCCGGGCAAAACCCTGGTGACCATTGGTCTCAAAAAGCTATAAAAAGTCACCCCATTTCTCTGGAAGGTCCAAAAAGCACCTCGACGCGAACCGATCATGCGCGGAGGCAGTTTAACGCGGTACCATACGCCTGTGCTCACCAAGCAAGAGGGCAAAGGCTTGGCCGAAGACTTGATCAAACTGGCGGGACCCCTGATTGTGCAGCAAGCTCAAGCGGGACTGCAAGATATCCAACGAGGAAAGAGTGCAGCGGACACGTGGGCTGATCGAAGTGCCCAACTCAGCCGCGGCTTGAAACGCAAAGCCCCCGCCATGGCTTGGACGGCTGGCAAACACAAGGTTAAACGGACCGCCCAAAATACCTATAAAAGAGCCACGCAACACGTACGGGATATCTTTGGACTGTGAAAAATGGTACGTGTAGGAGGCTTTCTGAAAACGCAAAATCGCATTCGACGGCAACGCGCCCGTGGACGGTTCATTTCGCCGTATCAAGTGGGGGGTACGATCTTTGGCAAGTCGACCATGGCACGCTATCCTCTGATGTACACGTCCTCCCGCCTGTTGGATCAACACCTACAGCGCAAGATGAAAGGGGGGACGATTTTTGGCAAGTCCACCCGCATGCATAACAATCCTTTGAGGTTCCCATCTGCGTCGCACCGGATCAACCCCGAACCCTGGAGGGTGAAGCAGGCCCTACGCCGTATGAAAGGGGGCACGATTTTTGGCCCGGGGGATCTCAGGAAGGTGTTGTGGGCCAACCAAGCCAAAGCCAGGAAGCAACGTAGGCGAAAGGGTATAAAAAGAGGACGCCGTTGAACATCGTGGACAGACCGCATCATGTCGCTCCAACTGTTTGACGTGCCCGATGTGGATTATCGGTACGAAGCCTCTCGGGAGGTGGAGTTTCAACCCGCCTTGACGGGCATCCAACCCATCACCTTCTCCATTCCAGGCTCCGACGATTATTACGATCCCAATTCTCTCCGCTTCAAAGTCAAAGTACGCCTGACAGATCCAGCGGATGGGTACAATGGGTTGGTGGCCAATTTGGCCAACTCCGATGCCAACAATTCCAGAAACACCTACTGCGTCAACAATTTCGGTCACACCATCTTTCGAGATATCACCCTGAGCATGAATGGAGTCCTCATGACAGAACAGAGCAACACCTACCATTACAGAGCCTACATGGAAACCCTGCTGAATTACAACCGAGAGGAAGGAGCCACCAAGCTAGCCTCGCAAGGATGGGTCAATCAGCTCAATGTGATTCCAGTCATGGGAGCCACAGGAGCCAATTCGGATGTACCCACCGCTGCGAATTGGAATGGGAACACAGAGTTGCGAGCCCTGACCAGCCGGTTGCTGGGTCAAAATTGGCACACTTTCATCATTCGTCCCCATTTGCCACCCCTCAAGACAGGCAAATTGTTGGTCCCCAATGTCCAGATGGACTTTGAACTCTTCCTCAACCCCAACTCTGTCTACCTGATAGGTACCCCTAACAAAGGCACCTTGGTAGCCAAGAAATTTCCAGCCATCCACAATGATGACATCAAAGTCACCTTGCTGATGAGAAAAGTGACCCTGAATGCCAGCGTCTATGTCAGACTACAGAAAGAAAGACAGCTGGGCAAACAGATTGCCCGCTACCCCGTCGTGCGGAGCGAAATTCGCACGTTTTCCTTCGATGGACGCACTACCCAGTGGGAACAAGACAATGTGTTTGTCGGTCGATTTCCTGATCGAGTGATCGTCGGGTTATTGCATTCCAACACCTTCAATGGAGACCTCACAAGATACCCCTTTGCCTTTCAAAAGTTTGGCGTCACCCAAGTACGACAGACCTTGAATGGAGAAGAATACCCTTACAGAACCCTGCAATTGACTGGAGACCAAGCCTATGAAGATCTGCTGGGCTACGATCGATTTCTACAAGCCATGGGTGCCTACAATGAAGACAAGATTCCCATGCTGCTGCCTAGTGATTGGGGACAAGACAAGAATTGCACGTTGTTCATGTTCAACAATGTGCCCAGTGGAAAAGCAGATGACCCCCAGTACCGCAACCCCCGTCAATCGGGCAATACGCGACTGGTGATTGATTTTGCCGCTGCAGTGGGTCATAACATCACCGTGTTGGTGTGGAGCGAGTATGAAAACATGTACGAGATCAATCATCTGGGAGGTATAAAGTACAACATCAACGGTTGAAATTGCCTCAGAAGACAGAAGACACCGGTCATGGAGTTTGTGGCGCTCAGTGATACCGTGTTGCGGACCCTGGCCTTGGAGGATCCCACCTTACGGCGCGTGTTTCATGGGGTGCACCCAGCCGACCAACTACCCCGATCCCCCGCCATGAGTGTCCGTCAAGCGTACATTGTCAACACCGATCCAGCGGGAGAACCGGGACAGCATTGGTTGGGTCTATGGACGGAAAAGAACAAGTGCTAGATCTTTGACAGTTATGGTCTACCTCTGCACGTGTACACCAACCCGGAGTTGCACCAGTGGTGGGGTCAATGGAAGTACCTGACGCGCAGTGACCAGACCCTGCAAGCCCTGGATAGTCAAACCTGTGGCCATTATGCGTTATTTTTCTTGAAAGCCCGCGCGCAAGGACGGTCGTATCAAGAATTTTTAAGTCAATGGAGTTGCGACAATTTAGTGTTGAATGATCAAAAAGTGGCCGCGCAGTTGAAACAGGTGATCAAACAGGAATTACAAGATGAAGTCGATGCCCGGCCCGACGGGCAAAAGAATGTGAGCCGCCAGGCTTTTATCAATTGTAATCACTGTGAGTGTTGAAAATAAAAAAACCCATAAAACGAGGTGTGTGGTCAAAGAGTGGTCATTGTATCTCATCATGATTACGCGAGCCGATGTACAGCGTGTCGTGGATGCGTTCATTCTCGAAGAAACCTTGTATTGGTGGGAACACCCGATCGAGCGGGTCAACACGGTGCAAGGCATCGATGCCTGGGATGGGTATCATTGGTTAATGGCCCGACAATTGGCGCAAGACCAAGATTGGGTCTCCCTCAAGCACTACATGGACAGCATGAGCGAAACGTATTTAAGAGAGACCATGGAAGGTCTGATTCAGTCCGAGTCCCCCCGCTTATACCGCGAATATTGGACGGTATGCCCCCTCGCAGACGACGACGACGACAGCGCGCCTCCACCCGACGACCCCGCTTTCGCCAAAACGGGCGCGGGATCATGGGCGTGTTGGCCAAAGCCTATAAAATTGGCGACAAATTGGGACGGGACAAACGGTATAAACGCATGGGCGCTAAAGGGGCCACAGGTCATTATCGACGTCACCCTCGACCGTGGGAATCATGATCCGACAACCCAGTAGTGTGATCATCGCGGGCCCGTCGGGCAGTGGCAAGAGCGAATTGGTGGAACAATGGTTACGGTACCTGAACGTCTTTCAAGTCAAACCCCGCAAGATTGTGTATGCTTATGATCGCTGGCAACCCCGATTCGATCGTATGCAAAAAAAAGATGGGATTCAGTTTCATCGCGGATTACCGGACCCCCGTCATTTGACGCAATGGTTTGGTCGGACGCGCGGAGGGGTGTTGGTCTTGGACGACCTGATGGAAGAAGGGGGACAAGACAAGCGCGTGTTGGATTTGTTCACCAAAGATTCGCATCATTGCAACATCACGGTGCTGTATTTGATGCAAGATTTATTCCCGCCTGGCAAATTTTCCAAGACCATCAATCGCAACGCGCATTACATTGTGGCGTTCAAAAACCCCCGGGATCAAACAGGGATACGGACGATTTTATTGCAAGCCTTTCCGGATCGGTGGCGTCAAGTCTTGCGCCTATTTAAACGCATCACGTCCCGCCCCTTTGGCTATTTGATGTTGGATGTGCATCCTGCGTCGGATGATCGCTACCGCCTGTGGAGTCATTTAACGCCTCGAGAAGGCAAGGCGCAAGTTCACACCTTGCGTGCGGATGTCCCTGCCGTTCGACAACGCACTGCAACGAGAACTCGCCAGGGTCCGCCGGCAAAGAGAAGGCGGACAACATACTGAGTTAGCAGCCCGCATGGACACACCGACTCTCTCGCCCGCGGGGGTGGGTTCCCCCTCGGTCCTCCGGGATCTCAGCAGCATGACGGACATGGTGACCGAATTGTCTCGACCAGTGGATCGTGCCCAATTGGAGCAAGACATTGACGATTTCAATTTGACCTACCCGGTCAATGTAGACGAAGCCTTGAATGCGTTCACGCTACCGCCCGTGGCGGGCACTGGCACCGCCCCCGCCACCACGGCACCACCACCCACCATCACCACCACAGCCCCCATCACCACCACGGCCACCCAAACCCGTCCTACCACGTCCACCCGAACACGCCCCACCACCACGACCAGTCGACCGCGACCCGTGACCTCCACTCGAACACGCCCTGCCACCACCGCCACGACCACCACAGCGCCTTCCCGCCCCTCCACTAGCCGCCGCAGCGCAGGGGCAGGGACCAGGACCACCACCTCGACAGTGACCACCCCCACCGGACGCCCCACCATCGCCGCCAAACAACCGCGACGGCGCCCCAGGGTGCCCTCCCCACCGTCCCCCGATTCGTCCCCTCCGTCCGAGGACGAGGATGAAGATGACGATGACGATCGACGACGGGGATTAAGGCGACGGTTGGATTTGCTCAATGAAGATGCTCAAGAACGGGCTCGAGGTAGACGGATCCGTAACATCACGCACACCAATACAGTCACCACGGTCTACGAAGAGGGTGGTCGTCCCTCGGTGCGCCGCACGTCCACCCGAACCTCCAGCCCAAGTCCACCCAGACCACCACGCCGAGGACGGGGCCGTGGCCGTGGACGAGCACGTGGACGGGGCCGACGCTCGTGAAGAAAGGATATAAAAACAGTGTCGTTCCTCCAATCGTCCTAGTACCATGTGTGGCCAATGTCGAAGCGCTAAGTGTGGCAAATGTCGAGGTGCCAAACGCAAACGCACCATGACTCGACGTCGACCACGTCGACGTAGGATGAAGGGTGGGACGGCGCCGTTCATCGTGGATGTCAAAAAAGGCTTTGAGTTGTTGGCGGACAAGAATATGTGGAAGATTCCTTCCAAAGCCGAATTAAAGGCCGCCGAACGACAGGTGGCCGGTTACAAACGCCAGTATCGCGCCAGTGGCAGCAAGGACTCGTACGACAAGTGGGTGGTCAAGAAGGGGTATGCCAAACGACCCAGTGTGTGTTGCTTGATGTGAATGTATAAAAAAAAGGATCGCGGTGTTCAGCTCTCAAAAAGGATTCGTCATTGGACCCAAACGCAAACGCAAACGCACCACGACTCGACGTCGACCGCCCACCAAACGATCACGACGCCATGGTCAAGTGGGGGGTGTCGCGGTCAGCCTGCCTGTAGGGATTCTCAAAGCCGGTTATGGGATCACCAAAGCCATCGGGGATCATCAAACCCAGCGTGCCATCAAAATTGGCGAAAAACTGTCGACGAGAAGTGGCCTCAGGCAAACGGAAACGCTATGCGGGGGAATCGTTTAATTGTTCGATCATGTGAAAACGTATAAAAAGACCTGGGTGGACTTGGACAAGAGTTAGTTGAAAGATGGTCCGTGGACCCAACGGTCGCCGACATCGTTATGTCCCCCGAATACGACGCCGACGACGTGGATTGCAACGTGGAAGCGTGCTCCCCATGTTGGCATTGGCTCTCTCGCCTGGGGCGTTCAAGAAGAAACGACAGGCGCGCCGACGCTAACGTGACCAAGAAACGAAAAGCCGTCACGTTTGCTTTGGACTGGGACGACCAGCATGAAGCAGCCTTGTGTTCACGGTGTCGAAATCACATGCAAACGCATTATCATGGCGAATTGTGTGGCCGGTGTGGCGCCATTTTTACCATAAATAGACCTTGGTCGTTGCCTGAACTTAAGATTCATCATGGAGTGGCGCATGGAACGTCAAGCCCCGTTCTTAAAAAGTATCTTACAAGAAGCCAATCAACACAAACGACAAGAATTGTTGCGGATGGCGAATGCGGATCAGATCAATGCTATCAGTGAATTGGTGATGAACACCCTCCGTGGCACGGTGCCCCGTTCCCGACACACCATCACGTTGCTCAAACCCCACGCCCAGAGTTTACGCGCCATGGCCAAACCCGCCCATTCTGTCAAACGACGACGCGCCATCATGATGGCTCAAAAAGGGGGTGCCCTCTGGCCTGAACTCTACCGATGTTATAAACGTTGCATGCGCTAGACAACATCCCTCAGTTGCACCATGGAACCCGAGATGGTGAGCACCACAGTGGACAACGCCCCGGCTTTTTTACAATTACGAGACCAGTACAAACAAGAATTGGTGGAAGATACCCGCTTGACCAAAGCCGCCGATTTAGCGGCCAAACAACATGTGCTCCTGACCAGCGATGCCCCCGATGCTTGGAAACGGCCTCAACTCAAAGCCGTGAGCCGTCAATTACGCCATTGGACGAAAAAAGTGCGCCAACCGTTTGGGGCTCCCACCGGGGGTGTGACTGCAGCAGGGGCCACGACCCCGGGCGACGATGATTTTGAGGCGGGTCCGATGCAAGCGTGGTTCACGCAATTGGTCAAGGCCACCCAGGGTATAAAACAAGGCACCCCTACTCGTGGACCCAGAAAACCACCTGTCCCGCCCAAACCGAACATCACTCCCAGTGCCAAAAAGAAACTCAAGTTCACGACCCCGTTGAGCAGTGAAGAATTGGCGAAAGACCTGCCTTTTTCAGATACGTACGGCCAAGAACCTTGGGATACCCCCAGTGAACGTGTGGAATCGATCAAGAAAGCGGTCAAGCGCGGGATTCGCAAAAAAGCTGCCGACGCTGCCAAAAAGAAAGCCGCCGGTGTGGCCAAGAAAGCCTTGGACTGGAAATCGTGGAAAACCCCGTAACATGGGACGGCCTCGTAAACGCCGTGCGGCGCCCCGTTCCCGACCGAGGCGGCGACGACGCTCGCAACGTGGAGGCAAATTATTTGATGTGCAAAACCTCCTCAACAAGACAGGCATTGAATTTCATTGGCCCGGCTATCAGTACATGGGACCTGGCACCCATTTGAAAAAACGATTGGCCCGTGGGGATCCCGGCATCAACCGGTTGGACAGGATTGCTAAAGCCCATGACATCGACTACGATAAAGCCAAGAATTTGAAAGATAAATGGGCGGCGGATCGCAAGATGATTGCCAAGATTGATCAACTCCCTGGCAGCAAAAACCTGACAGAGCGTATTGTTAGACGCATTATGAAAGCCAAACTCCGATTGGGCATGTAAACCCCTTAGTCATAAAGAAAAAGACCACTTTGTTCAATGGCACAATACACATGTTTTAATTAAACTTCATTTTTGTTCTTACAAGTACATGTCCATTTGCTGCAATGCCTCGGTGCGAAGGGTCTGCACCCTGTCCTCCTCCTCAGGCTCGGACTCGGCCCAGTCTAAGGGCAGCCACGGTAGGGGAAAGGGACGCTCCAAGGCCTCGTCCAACCAATGCCATTCTCGATGCCGAATCGATTCCACCCGCTTCTCGTATCTCTGTTTCTGCAGAGCCTTCCACCCCTCCTCGCCCAACACACGCTTTTTCTCGATGGCAATCTCTCGCCGCCGCGCATTCAATCGCTGCTTGTAAGCCTCGTACGTCCCCTTGTCCTTCATTTTTTGCATCCAGTTTCGCTGACACTGGGCGTTTTTGCGTTTCACCTCGTTCCGCTGCTCCTCGGTCATGGCATGGTAGCGTCGCATCCCCTCTTCGGTCTTTTTGGCTTTGAAGGCCTCGTACTCCCCATTGGCTTTCATTCGAGCCATCCGTTCATGGTAGCGTCGACGGTGCACGGCCTTTACGTCCTCGATCCCATTCAGGGCCGCGTACTGGCGCTGCCGATACCGCTTTTGTTGTTGTTTGTTTTTTTCAGGGTCCCGTTTTTTCCTGGGGGGCTGGCGCGATCCTGGCATATCCATGATCCAATTCCAACACTCGGGCAGCACACACGTCTGCTAACGCACGCAACTTTCGGAAGGGATTAGGCGTCTGCCGAACACGGGCACGACGGTCCCGTTGCTGCTGCACAATCTTATCGCGGTGACGATGGTAATACCTGCGGTTCAGTGCACGTACTTGGGCCGTATGCGTAGCTCGGTACCGGTTACAGGCCAACCGATTCAATTCTCGGGCTCTCGCAATCTGTTCCGGGGTCGGGGGCGGTTTGGGTGGTTTGGGCGGTTTGAGCTTTTTCTGGGCCGCCCGCTGCTCACGTTTCCGTGTCGCAATCTCCTCCCTGTGTTTGAGGTACCACTTACGCTTGGCTTGCTTCACCTTCTCAGGATCTCGATTGGGCATTCTCGAACACAACTGACGTCTGTTCTGGACGATGGACTATATCTAGGGATCTCTCCACCAATCACCGATCTCGCTCCAGGCTCAGCGGAGACTTGAGAAATCTGTACCCATGGGGGGCACCCCCCTCAATCCTCCTCCTGTCCATTCAACCCCTCACTTGACTCTCACCTGACTCTCACCTGAGCCACATCCACCAATCCCCGTTCGTTTGATCACGTGTTTTTGGGTCTATAAAAGCCAGCGTCCGGCGCGGGAAATTCAAATTGTCTCCTCCGTCATGGCGGAGGACCACTGGTATCCATTCAGTGACGAGGAGGAGGATGCTCTGTTGAACCGCGCCTATGACCGGTGGGAACAGTTGGGAGGGGCTGCCGCCGCCCTTTCAATTCACCATGCAACCCATAGGTCGACGACGCCGCTGGCGTAACGTGGTGGAGCGGGCGCAATTCAACGCGCAATTGCGTCAATTGAGGGATCCTGGTCCTGGGGACAATATTGGCATGGCGTTAACGGAAGCGTTACACCAAGCCATTGAAACGGAACTCGGCCGAGAACAGCGACCCGCCCATCATTTTGTGAACTTTGCCATTACAGCGCACGGGTTCACCCACGCGTATCAAACCGCCAATTTCACCGTGGGGGAATTTTTACAACGCACCGCTCGTTTGGATGAGATGTTAGCCACCTTGGCGGGAAAATTAAACAGCAATGAAGCCTTCAACCCCGATCGCGGGTTCCAAGTGGATGTGGTGTTTGTCTCCATGCCTGGCCCAGGGTCCGGTCGACATAAACAACGCAATGTGGGACGTTTATGCCTGGATCGAGTCAACAAGAAAAAGAAATGCATCATCCCCATCCGAAACAGAGATACTTTACGTTGTGCTCGTGCCATTGTCACCATGCGAGCCCACTGCCATAAAGATCAAGGCGTGGATGAACTTCGCCTATGGGATAGTTTTAAAAAAGGGTACCCGGTGCAACAACGTCAAGCCCAGGCCCTCCATCAGCAAGCGGGAGTCGCTGAAGGTCCCTGTGGTTTACCCGAACTTCGCCAATTTCAACACGCGTTGGGGTCTCAATATCAACTCTTGGTGATGACCCGGATGAAACCGTTCTTTTTAATCTTCAAAGGTCCCACCGCCCCTCATCAAATTCGTTTACTCAAATCCAACGATCATTTTGATGGCTGCACGTCCTTCCTGCCTTTGTCAACCGCTCTTATTATTGCCTGGACTGTGAACGGGGGTTCAACACCGACGATCGGACCCATCACACTTGTCAAGGGAGACGCTGCTCCGCGTGTGGACGTTTTGATTGTCCGGATTATGTGCGTGGCACCCGCCCCACCGAGTATTGCAGTCTGTGTCACCGCAAGTTTTACGGCGGTCAATGCAAACGTTATCATGAAGTCAGTGCCCAATGTCAATCCATCAAAACGTGTCTCAAGTGTCAAGCCCAATACACGGTCGTCCGCAACCAACGTCACCGGTGCGGGTACGCCAAATGTCCCACCTGTCAGGAATGGGTGCCCATTCAATACCACAAATGTTACATACAACCCGTGGTGGAACACGAGGAGACTGAACCCACAGAGGAGGGGGGAGGTAGCATGGTGGCGCCACCCCCTCCCCTGTTTGTTTACGCGGATTTTGAAGCCATGCAGAATGCAGAAGGCGTGTTTGTGGCCAATTTGTTGTGTTATTCGTCCAGTGCAGAAACGACCATTCATGTATTGGACGGGGAGGACTGTGCCCTACAATTTTGCGCGATTTGGATGATCTCACGGACGTTCCAGACCGTGAGGAGGAGCGGGCTATTCTCGTGGTGTTTCACAATTTGAAAGGGTTTGATGGCATGTTCATTCTCCATGAACTCTACCAGCAACAACGCGAGGTCGCGGATCAACTGACCGTGGGAGCCAAAGTCCTATCGTTCAGAAGTGGACCTATCAAATTCATTGACTCGTTATGTTTCTTGCCCATGCCGCTGGCCTCCTTTTCCAGTACCTTCAATTTGACCGAATTAAAGAAGGGCTTCTTTCCCCATTTGTTCAACACCCCCGACCACCAACAGTATGTGGGTCGCATCCCCGATTTGGAGTTTTACGATCCTGACGGCATGATGGCCAAAAAGAAAGACGAACTGACTCGTTGGCACGCCGATCAAGTCCGTCGTCATGTCACGTTCAAGAAATGATTGATTATTGCAAATCGGATGTGGCTCTCTTAAAAGCCGGCTGTGAAGCCTTTCAGCAAGAATTTGAACAACAGGCTGGCTTCAACCCTATGGCCAAGTGTATCACCATCGCCAGTGCCTGCAATCTGTATTGGCGCAAGCATCATTTGACCCCCGACACCATTGCGGTGGAACCTCTCGGAGGGTGGCGAGGGGCCCAAGTCAATCAATCCCTCAAAGCCCTCCAATGGCTCTATTACCAAGAACACCTCCTTCCCAAAGAGGGGGCCAGTGCTGATCGCATTCGTCACGTTCGTAACGGGGGCGAACAGTCGGTCCGAACCAGCGTCGACAGTCATTTCGTCGATGGCTACGATCCTGTGACTCGTACCGTCTACGAGTTTCACGGATGTCTCTACCATGGCTGTCCCCGCTGTTATCCCGCGAGAAACGCCAAACATTATGCCACGCCGGATCGAACTGTGGAGGAACTCTATCAAGCCACGCTCTCCAAACGCATGGCATTGCTCCGAGCGGGTTATACAGTCATTGAAATGTGGGAATGTGAATGGGACCAACTAGTGGACACCGATGAAGCTGTTCAACGTTTTCTGACTTCCTTCGATCTGGTGGCACCCTTGGAACCCCGTCAAGCCTTCTTTGGAGGTCGAACCGGTGCCGTGGCTCTGCATGCTGTGGCTGGAGAGGGTGAGGAAATACGCTATGTGGATGTGACCTCCCTGTACCCGTGGGTGAATAAGAACTGTCCCTATCCCATCGGGCATCCGCGGATCATCACGCAGCCCGCTGACCAGTCCCTGGAATCCTATTTTGGTCTAGCCACCGTCGATATTCTTCCTCCCGCTGGTTTGTTCCACCCTGTTCTGCCCGTGCGTAGCGGCAACAAGCTCACCTTTCCTCTCTGCCGCGCCTGTGTTCAGTCAGAGCAGGCCCAACCCATGTTGACCCGAACCCGTTATTGCCCTCATTCCGATGCGGATCGCACGCTACGCGGCACCTGGTGCACGCCCGAATTGGTCAAAGCCGTCGAAAAGGGGTACACACTGATCAAGATCCACGAAGTCTGGCATTTTCCCCCTGAGCAACGCCAAACGGGTCTTTTTGCCAATTATGTGAACACGTGGCTCAAGTTGAAACAAGAATCGGCAGGGTGGCCCGGCTGGTGTCAGACCCTCGAGCAGAAACGCAACTACATTCTTCGTTACCAGGAACGGGAGGGTATCCGACTGGACATTGCCAGCATTGCCAAAAATCCCGGTCGCAAAGCCACGGCCAAGCTCATGCTGAACAGCTTCTGGGGCAAATTCGGGGAGCGGATCAACAAACCCACCACCGTCACTGTCAAAGACCCCGCCCATTTGTTCGGTCTCATCTCTAATGCTGCCCTCGATCTCAGCACGCTCCGCCTTTGCACGGACGATATCTTGGAAGCCGTCTACACCAGCGTCCACGACAATGCTGTCAAAGGCACCAAGACCAATATCTTTGTAGCCGCTTTCACCACCTGTCATGCTCGATTGAAGCTGTACGAGTCCCTGGACACCCTTCAACAGCAAATCCTCTATTATGATACCGATAGTGTGGTGTACAAGTGGCGTCCCGGTCAACCCAGCATGGCCACCGGGGATTTTTTGGGGGACATGACCGACGAATTAGACGGAGACGTCATCACCGAGTTTGTTTCGGGGGGCGCCAAGAATTATGAGTACCAGACCCGTGGAGGCAAAGTGGTGTGCAAGGTACGCGGTTTCACCTTAAACGTCCGTGGATCCGCCATTCTCAATTTTCAGACCATGAAAGAGAACATTGTTTCCGAACTAGAATCGCCCCAGGACTCTCGCCGAAATTTAGACATTATCATCCCCTATTATTTCAAACGAGATTTAGAGGAAAAACAAATTCAAGTGGTTCCGCGCGTAAAGCAGTATGGGTTGGTGTTCGACAAGCGCATCATTGATGTCGCCACCCGATCCAGTTATCCCTATGGCTACGAGAGAATTGGACATGAACTCGACTTTCTATTAGATTTGTAATGGGCGTGACATCAATTGGATGTCACATACGTCCCGCTTGTACCCAGGGCTTCACGCGGTCATTAAAACTATGTAAAGAATGTGGATTCAACTCTTGTGTGCGTGTGTTCTTTATTCCTATGGGTCACGTGGACAAAACCACTAGATTGTGACGTCAAAAAGTCACATGGGCGAAATGCGCGATTCTGATTGGTCGAGACCAAATTTGCTGCGCTCTGATTGGTTACCGATCCATGTAGCCACTATGACTACTCATTTCACTCACCGGGTTAGTCTATTTTTCGTAGAAAGTAAAATGGAATCCTAAAATTTTCGGATTCAAAAATGTGATGAAAGAAGGTATCTGAAAATTATCTCCTTCGTAATACGTTAAATTGCATCTAAAATTTTCGGGAAATTGATTATGAATTCCTCGTAATTTCGAAAAGACTCAAGTTCCTCGAGAATGGCCGAAGACTGAGATGCAAATTTTATAGCGCCACTTAGAATGCATTTCTATAGAGCTAAAAGTACTTTATGAATAGCTACAAAAGTGTTTTCAATTGAAAGTATTTGAGGAAACAGTCGTTGGGTGGCCCTGTCTCGTTGCCTTCTCCGCTTAGCATTACACGATATATTTTATATTTAGTATGAGCAAACTATAAATCATTAGCTTCGCTTTTAGCCCTCCTGACTAAATTTATGTAAGCGCTGTTTAGAATGCATTTTTCGATCAAAAGTACTCTGGACAGCCTTAAATGTGTTTTCAATGCCTTTAGGGGGAAATCATCGTTGGGTGCCCCTGAGTTTTGAGAATAATAATAATAATAAAAGATATCGCGCACATAAATTTTACTTTACGATATCTTCAGCTGTATCTTCTATTCAGCTGCATAGCAGGGGCCAAATTTTGCCTTTTTCCTGGGCGGAAAATTCTCGTCCTCCTTCACCAGTTTGGACAACATATTATGGAGTATTTTAAAGACGTTGTTAAGTAAGCAAATAAGTCTGGTAGAGTCAAGAACCTATGCAAGCGGCTGGACGAACAACGTGACAGCCGGCTGAGACAGCGAACGTTAGAAGAGTTCGAACTTGAAAACCAGGGCTGCCCTGTTGAAAACTTACGGACGGTCCCGCGATCGCCTTTTGTTTTCTGGTCAAAACTAACGCAGCGAACCTTCGGTCAGTCGATTGACCTAGAAGCAATACTACCATCTCTCCCATAGCAAGTGCTGCATTGTTGCGCGAACGCGGTCGCTAAGCTTGAATAGTCACGTCGCGTATTAAACCTGGTCGTTTTGCGGTCATATCGAAGCGTAAAGGTCAACAGTGGTTGTTGATGAGCGAGCAATTATTGTGCAGTTGCGATGGGTTTTGTGGAGCAAGCGAGCCAGAAGCAGGAGCACACGTTACCTGCAGATTAGCCGATGGTTATTTGGAGCGGATTCGTCGATTATTCTCGAATTTATAGCGCTTCGTGTGAAGGCGCGTGGAGATGGTCTGTTTGTTTTGTAGCCAGCCTTTAATTCTTCTTTAGTGGATAGTACCTACAATTTCAAAACTCAACAAAATGCCACTTAAACCGGCCAGGAAAGACAAGGATACGTTCAGTTGAAGGTATCTTAGCTTTGTTTTGTTATATTTTGACTTTTAGACTATTTTAGTCCATGGGAGTTTCGACGACTCATCGCATTAATTTGTCCATGTGGATATTAATATATTCATTCAGTGACACATACTACGTCTGGGCGGCCTGTGCTAGCTCATTGCTTATTCACCCGGAGTGCGGGACTGCGGACCCCCAGCGCTTAGCTCATTGCTTATGCACTTATCAGTTGAAACCCCGACCCCCCCCCCCCCCCCGGGCCAAGGTGGGGATTTGACTTGACATCATTACAAATCTTAGCAAACTCCCACCATACTGGGGCATATTGACTGGTAAAACCCCCACCCAGGTGGGGAAACCTTTTTAATTCCCTGACTGGCTTTATTAACATTTCGTTGGAATTTTCAACCTCTTTATTGACAAATTTACTAGAGCAAAAAGGCAAATATGATAACAGACCAAGATATAAATACAACAAATATTTGACAATAATTAAGTAAACATAATGACCCCTGCCCACTTATAAAAAAGTCAGGGTACAAAATGGATGATGGAGTAACACATTGCTATAAATTTATATTAAAAGGAAATCTGTACCATCTCCATTGAAAGTAATTGCTGCAATGAAAAGTTTAATTGAAAATAGCAGCCAACATACCTTAACTTTCACAAGCTGATGTTATAAATAGACTGCATAAAATAGTTCCTAGGAGCTATATTTTATATTTTGACTTAAAGAATGAGGAAATATAGAACTTCAGAAACTACATGGGTTTAACACTAGACGTTAAACGAGCTGTGTCACGAAATTTACCAAAATGTAGGCTGTGGGAACTGCCACCAAATTGAGTGAAACATAAAAATAACCACTGAAGACATTAAAAGATGGTATAAATGACTCAGCAAATACAAAAGAAGGTACAGATGGGAAAACATGAAGAAGATTAAAACAGATTGAAATTTTGGTTTTTGAAAACTTGTTAACCTAACAGTTTTTCAAAGTTCATTGTTTTTGTCCGTAACGCTTGATATGCTTGGGAGAAACATCTGTTTGAAACGAAGCTTTGATTTCTTCATTTCTTTGCCCACGATAACGCTCAGAAGCGAGTAGGGACCACGTAACTGGCAATATTAACAACATAGGCACGTTCAACGTGCATGAGCTATTTTGAATGCTTCAGTGTAACTATAATACTTCGGTGTAACCTTACCAAGAGTGATGAATCTACCTTTTTCATCCTAAATGTAGATTTGGTTTTTGTGCGAAATTGGGTATTGCGCTACATAAATGAAAACGCGAAACGCTCAGCTGAGTCGATCCTCAACCTATGTATTCACTTTCCTCTGTCTTTCCCAGTTACATCTGGTGCAACTTAAACAAATTGCTAAAGTAAAATAAATTTCTACTCATCAAACAATGATTAGAAGGAAAACTCTAAGGTTTCCTCGGAGTTTCTTAAGCCAAAATGTGACTCATCGAATACTGAATAGTTACGAAATACCAGGATTTTTATCATTGAGGTAGTTGGTTGCGTCATCATAATTCACGAGGTTTTCACGTGCGATTCTACTCAGTGAAACAGTCTTTAACTCCGACAACTTATTTCTTCATGTTTTAAAAGCTATTGCTTCTTAAAAGGCAAGAGCCTTTTTTAAGGCATTGGTTACAAAACGAAACAGGTCTTCATACGTCCAAGTTACTATTTATCATTGTGAAAAGCCAATCTGCATGAGATGTACAGTCACACAGCTGGCACGTGAAAGTGTTGGACTTTGTCCCCTTTCGTGGTTCGTACGTGAGGGAATTCGAGTTATCACACAATAAACTAGTAAACAGAATTATAAAAATAACTCTTGCACACAATTTGCACGTGAAGATGTTGGTCTTTGGCCCTTTTACAATTCGTACGTTAAAAAAAGGCAAATTGTTTACTACAAAATTTTCTCAAGCGATTTTAAGAAATCATCTCGGCTTCATTACAACATCTGCAATTAAACTATGTTTCATGCAACGTCAAGGTTGATAACCTAACATTTATTAACATTTGTGAGACAGTCTTTAACTCCGACAACTTATTTCTTCATGTTTTAAAAGCTATTGCTTCTTAAAAGACAAGAGCCTTTTTTAGGGCATTGGTTACTAAACGAAACAGGTCTTTATACGTTCAAGTCACTATTACTATTGTGAAAAGCCAATCTGCATGAGATGTACAGTCACACAGATGGCACGTGAAAGTGTTGGACTTTGCCCCCTTCCGTGGTTCGTACGTGAGGGAATTCGAGTTATCACACAGTAATCGAGTAAACAAAATTATAAAAATAACTCATGCACACGATTTGCATGTGAAGATGTTGGTCTTTGGCCCGTTTACAATTCGTACTTAAAAAAAACGCAAATTGTTTACTACAAAATTTTCTCAAGCGATTTTAAGAAATCACCTCGGCCTTATTACAACATCTGCAATTAAATTATGTTTCATGCAACGTCAAGGTTGATAGCCTAACATTTATTAACTTCCAAGAAAATTATCAAACTGCCGAAAAATATTTCTGCTCATATCATGTTACTCCACTCAATAAAGCAGTACCTAACTATTCTGTCAACTAGCTTCTTCCAATTTTATTCCCTAACGCTACTGTTTCTACTTACGTTTATACGCATCTTTACTAAATAAAATACGTTTCAATAACTATAATGCTTAGTATGCAGGAAGGATGTATCATGTTGTTCACTTATTATTCCTTTTTGTTGTTGTTTTGCCTCAACGAAAAAGGTCTGTTGAACTTTGTAAGCGAGAGAATAATATTTCTACAGCTTGTTTACAGGATTAACAATACTCGGTACAGCTTTTAAAAAAATAAGCTGCTTTTCAAACTTCTAAAATCACATTTTATAGGCCGCATACTTTCGAATTAAAGTCCATATCTAAATATCAATTATTGCTTCACTGGAAGAGCTTTGAAAATATATGATCGTTTATACTCTACCTTGAAGCAGGTGAAACACAACTCATAAATACGTGCGTGGTACCGTTCGCGATAGCCGAATTCGGTCAGAAATGTCTTGAAGTAGCATCCACACTAAAATATGAACCCTTAAACAGCTGCATCACTGTACACAGCGTTTGAATCATGAAGATATTTAATATAATGTTTCCAAACACCTGTAGCCGTACTAAAAGACGAACAAATTGTAAAGAATCAAGATGGCGGTCTTAAAGTGCCCTTGTTCGACCTTTAGCAATGTGATTTTTAAGTAGATGCCAAGATCTCATTGGTTCCTTAGCATCAACTCATAGTACCTTCAACCTTATTGGCTCTTGCAACAAACATCCGAACATACAAAGTTACAAAGATACAAAGTTACAAAGTTACAAAGTTACAAAGATACAAAGCCACAAAGATACATACGCTC